CAGGGAGACAGCAGGCCCGAGTTTGAATCAAAATTCCCCCACCTTCCTGCTGTATATTTAGCTCTGGGCTGACCAGAAATTTCTCTGAGCTTTGGTCTTCTCATCTGCAAGACAGGAAAAGGAACACCGCCTGGGCCGGGTGCGGTGGCTCACGCCTGTAATCCCACCATTTTGGGAGGCTGAGACAGGCAGATCACGTGACGTTAGGAGTTCAAGACCAGCCTGGCCAACATAGTGAAACCCTGTCTCTAATAAAACTACATAAAAATTAGCTGGGCATGTTAACCCGTAATCCCAGCTACTCAGGAGGTTGAGGGATGAGAATGGTTTGAATCCGTGAGGCGGAGGTTGCAGTGAGCTGAGATCGCATCATTGCACTCCAGCCTGGGCAACAGAGCGAGACTCTGTCTTAAGTAAATAAACAAACAAACAAATAAATACACTGCCTGGCCCATGGTTAGATCGTGTTAATCTAATTCTCTTCCATCTTGGAGGGTTCATGCTCTTATACTGTTGGGGACATTTCAAGGCCCCATGGGATCCAGGACAGGCCACTTCCTTAACTAAGGGGCTTCCCTCCATTGTTTCTCTGCCCCTGAGGACAGAGGAACCATTATTATCCCCATTTTGCAGGTGAAGAAACTGAGGAAGGCAGAGGCTGGAGACACTCGCCAATCAGGAACGGGTTTGGATTCAGGTTTGTCCCTTGACTGTGACTTCCTGTTGCACTGCTGTGGTCAGGAGTCTGCAGGTCGGCTTGGAGCCCCTTCTTCCTACTTGTGGACTCAGTACTCCGTTGTTGCCTCTTTGCTTCTATCCCAGGGAGAGTCCTTCAAGTGCTGGATGGGACCTTCAAGGCCCTAAGGTTTTGTGGCTGCAGAGTCAGCTCAGAGTCATCTGGGCCAAACTCAAAGGACCCACAGAGAAACTGTGGCACATGGTCCCAGGCTCAGGGCTGCCACGTGGCATTTTCTCTCTCCTCCTCTCCCTGGCATTTTTTTTTTTTTTTTTTGCAGTTTCTGGGACTTTGGGTTCCTCTCTGGCTCCCACTTTCTCCTAGACTCCCAGGGTCACTGTGACTCTCTAGACCCTCATCCTCCTCCCACAGCCCAGGCCACTGTCGGCCCTAGCCACCGTCTGGAATGGGACCTCTGCTGAGCTACTGGGCCTGGTATGGTGGGCAGCTCTGAGCTCAGCATCCCCGAGCTCCATCCTGAGAGAGGACAGACCAGGTCCTAAGTAGGAAGCGGGCAGGTGACCCTGGATGCTGCCCTCCAGCCACCTGGCTCCTTGGGGAGGGGCTCAGATGCTGCTCCAGGGCTCCAGAGTGACCAGGGCTGGGGGGTTCTCAGAGCAGCTGCCCAGCCCCTCCTCCATCCCTCATTTCCTGGTCTGGACTGGCTGGGCCATTCCCTGGTCCTGGAGGGGTTGGAAGGGTCCCATGGGTTGTGCCTCAAGTGGAGGGCAGGACACTTAGTGTGAGGGACACTCAGTCTCACACTCACAATCTCACACACAAACACCCCTACAGTCTCACTTATACACGTACACACTCACACATATACACTTACACAAACACACTCTCACTTATACACAAACACACATATACACTCACAAACACACTCTCACTTATACACACACCCACTCATTCACATTCATACCTGCACATACTCACACATATACACACACATGCACTCTCACTTATACACACACCCACTCATTCACATTCATACCTGCACACACATCCACACATATACACACACACGCACTCTCACTTATACACACACCCACTCATTCACATTCATACCTGCACATACTCACACATATACACACACACGCACTCTCACTTATACACACACCCATTCACATTCATACATGCACACACATCCACACATATACACACACAAACACACTCTCACTTATACACACACCCACTCATTCACATTCATACCTGCACATACTCACACATATACACACACACGCACTCTCACTTATACACACACCCATTCACATTCATACATGCACACACATCCACACATATACACACAAACACACTCTCACTTATACACACACCCATTCACATTCATACATGCACACACATCCACACATATACACTCACAAACACACTCTCACTTATACACACACCCACTCATTCACATTCATACCTGCACATACTCACACATATACACACACACGCACTCTCACTTATACACACACCCACTCATTCACATTCATACCTGCACATACTCACACATATACACACACACGCACTCTCACTTATACACACACCCACTCATTCACATTCATACCTGCACATACTCACACATATACACACACACGCACTCTCACTTATACACACACCCATTCATTCACATTCATACCTGCACATACTCACACATATACACACACACGCACTCTCACTTATACACACACCCACTCATTCACATTCATACCTGCACATACTCACACATATACACACACACGCACTCTCACTTATACACACACCCATTCACATTCATACCTGCACACACATCCACACATATACACTCACACACTCTCACTTATACACACACCCACTCATTCACATTCATACCTGCACATACTCACACATATACACACACACGCACTCTCACTTATACACACACCCATTCACATTCATACATGCACACACATCCACACATATACACTCACAAACACACTCTCACTTATACACACACCCATTCATTCATACATGCACATACTCATATACACTCACACACACTCACTCTCACTTATACACACACCCACTCATTCACATTCATACATGCACACTCACACATATACACTCACACACACTCTCACTTATACACACACCCATTCACATTCATACATGCACACTCATCCACACATACTCTTGCACTATCATTTTGTTTGTTTTGAGATGGAGTCTCGCTCTTGTAGCCCAGGCTGGAGTGCACTGGCACGATCTTGGCTCACCGAAACCTCCGACGCCCGGGTTCAAGCGATTCTCCCAGCATCAGCCTCCTGAGTAGCTGGGATTACAGACATGCACCACCACGCCTGGCCAATTTTTGTATTTTTAGTAGAGACGGGGTTTCTCCATATTGGCCAGGCTGGTCTTGAACTCTCAACCTCAGGTGATCCACCCTCCATGGCCTCCCAAAGTGCTGGGATTACAGGCCTGAGCCACTGTGCCTGGCCCCTATCATACTCTTACACTCACTCTCTCACACACACTTGATGTCCCAAAAGCTGGGGCCCTGACGCCTTGCCCCAGTGACACTCCCCCACCCTCAGCCTCAGTCCCCAACTGGTGGGCCCCCTCACTGTGTCTAGAGCTGGAAGCCCCCTTCCCCTCCCCCACTCCTACCCGTCCATAGCGGTCCACTGCCTGCGGATCCAGAGCAGACCCCTCTGCCTGCATCAGAGGCCCACCTCTCCGGAAGATTCCAGCATGTCCCCCATGCCACATGAATTCTTTGCCTGTCTCTTCTCTTTGCCTTTGCTCAAGCTGTTCCTCCCCCCTCCCCCCACCGCACACTGTTCCTGGCTGCCCCCACCATGTCCTAAAACAAATGCCTGGCCTCCCACGAACCTGCGCCCATGCTGTCCTCTGCCTCAGGGGACAGCACCAGCATTCACCCCCTGCCAAGGCAGGGCCCACGGGGGCCTCCTTCACCCTCGGGCCATGCCACACCACGTCCTGTCCTCTGTACCTCCCCCACAGACTCAGCCAGCCCTCACCATCTCCCCGGGATCTCACTGCCACACTCCCAGTCAGCTTCTGTGTCCACTCTTGTCCCTACTATTCTGAATAAGCTTTGGCGATCTAGTCTTTTCTCTGTAAAACTCTTCCTAAGCTTATGGCCACCACAAGACAACAGCTGGTCTCAGGACAAATGTCCCCCTCCCAGCCTCTGGCCATAGTGAGCCCCTCTCAGCCTCTCAGGTCTGTGGGCTGGGGGTCTCGTCCAGAGCACCCGTCTCTCTGGCCTCCACCAGTCTCCTCCCCGTGGCAGCCACTCTGGTCGTCAGGCACCCCCTTTGGGGGAGGTCTTCTGCACCCTCTGCAGAGGCCAGCCCCAGGGGACTGGTGCTCCCTGCCCACTATCCCTCTGTCATTCTTTAATGCCTTATTCACCACAATGTGTGCAGCCACACAGGACTGCCCTGTGTGGGCCTGGCTGTGGCTGTCTTGTTTGTCACTGTGTCCCCAGCACCCTCCCAGGGCCCTCTCTGGGTTTGGTTTTCAGCCTGGCTCCACCCAGAAGCAGGAAAAAGGGAGCCTGATTCCCTTCCACCCTCTCCTCCAGGAAGCCCTCCCTGAAGAGATCCAGGGCTTTCAAGGAAGACCCCCTTGCCCTTCCCCTAGGGCTCCCAAGCCCTAAGTCCCAGTGGTCACCCCAAGGGCAAGGACGCTTGGGTGTGCTGCGGGCAGGCTGGAGAGCCCCCAGGACAGCTGCCTTGTGCCTTCCACTCCTCCAAGCCCAGTGCCCCCCACCCCTTTGATGATGCTGGGGAGCTGCTCTCAGCTGGGGCACCAGGAGGCCAGGACGGAGCCCCACAGAGCCCCAGGGGTACAGGAGAGGTGGCAGTGCCCATTCCTCCTCCCCAGGCCCTGCCAGCTGGCTTCCCCAGCTCCAGTTGGGCTCTGCTTCTCCCTCTCCCTCCATCACCCTGCAGCCTCCCCTCCTTCTCCCCTCCGCGATCGCCTCTCCTCTCCTGCTCTCTTTCCCATTCCCTCCTCTCTCCCCATTCCTCTTCCCGGACCTCCCCTGCCCCCACTTCTCTCCTCTCCTCTCTTTTCCTCTCCTCTTTTCTCTGAGTCCTTCTCCCTCGCCTCCTTCCTTTCTTCTTCCTGGGTTAAAAATAATCAACTTTCTGGGAAGCAGCAGCTCCTGCTGAGCCGCCCTCCCCACACTCGGGAGCCCCTGAGAATAGCTTTCTGCGGTTCTCCACTCGAGCCTCTCCCCTCCCCTCGCTGCCTCCCCCCGAGCTGACTAATAAGCCCGGCCGCGCGGTGCCAGCTCGGCTGGAAAGGCGTTAACCACTTCGTGCCCGGACCGCGCGAACCGGGCGGACGGGCCCCCTGCAGGCCTGCCGGGAGGGGTGGCGGGCGCGGGCAGCTCCGGGGCAAGGCTCGGCCGTGTCAGCCTGAGTCCTTGAGCGGCCACAGGGTAGGCCCTCGATTTTACTGGTGGTGGGATCAATGTTGACCCCTGACCCCCACGCCGGCAGGTCCTGCTGCTGGTACAGCTAGCAGAGCTCGGTGGTATCGGTGGGCGCGCCAGGTGCAACACCCAAGGGATGGTCGGGGCCACATGGAGGGTGAGGCTGGGCCGGTGAGGCTCCCCTTCCCAGGGGACTCCTGGGTCCTTGGCTCTGGGCACCGGCTGAGGGGGGCCAGCGCTGGGGCCGTTAAAGTTCAGGCCAAGGCAGGGAAAGGCTGAAAACTGTCCTGGGTCCAAGGACGTCCACTGCTGTTGGGGTCTTTAGCGATCACTCACTCCCCTTCTTGCAGAAAGGGAAACTGAGACCCAGAGGATATGACTGAGGCCGGGACGTCTCCGGGTTCCTGTCCGAGACTAAGGAAGGCCAGCGGCCCTGGAGCCGAGACCTCCAGTTCAGGGGTTTCTGCAGGGGTAAGGTTAGGGGAGGGATGGGGTACAGCAAGGTCAAAGGTGAGGGGTAGGTGGGGAGAGAGGGAGCGCGGAGCTCTGCGAGGTCCCCGCCAGCCCCGCCCACTCCGCGTGGTCCCGGCATTACCTCATCGCGGCGCGCGCTCATTGGCTAGCTCCCCCCTTGAAGGACGGCCCAATGCGGCGGAGCCCGTTAACTCTTTCCGCCCCATGGACACTGCCCTGGCAGTGCCACCTGCCTCCGCGGTCCCCAAGCGGCTTTCAGGCGCTGGAGGGCCACGTAGACCAGGGAAAGGTAGTGTAGAAGCCGGTTCGAGGCCGGGGAGTACAGTGGTTAGAGCACAGGTCAGACAACCACGTCTTGGGCCCCTGCCCCGCGGTGGGCTGTGTGACCTTGAGCGACTGGCTTCACCTCGCTGAGCCTCTGCGTGTTTGCTTAGCTGTAAACAGAGGTGAATGATGTAACTCCTGCCCTTCCCAATTTCTTCCAGGTGTACTTGCCAAGTGTCAGGCACACGTGGGCTCTGCGTTCCATTCCACCTTGTCTCCTCCCTGCAAGAGATACAGTTATTATTATGGGTTTCCCAAAGAGGAAACAGGGCTCAGAGCAGCAAAGCTGCCTCCCAAGGTCACGCATCAAGAAAGTCACAGAGTCAGGATTTGACCCCGAGCCTGCGGGTTCTGAGCTGTACTCCTTCCAGGACAAGATTCTGCTTCCGCTTCTGCTTCTACTGGAGCCCTCCGTCTCTCCGGAAGGAGGGACAGGACTCATACCCAGCTGGTCAGCCCATGACACATGCCACTGTGGCCAAATAAAACCAGTGACAAGATGGAGAGCCCAGGACCTCCAGGGACAGGGATAGGAAGAAGGGTGAGGGCAGGGAGGGGCTGGAGTTGAACCCTCAAATGGGGAGGCAGGAGGACCCTCAGACAAAGGCAGTGGGGCTGGATGGAGCCCGGCGGGGGTGCATGGCATGGGAAGCTCTGAAGGAAGCCTGCAGGATCCCCTGGGGGTCATCCTGCTGGTTAGGGGTCAGCGCAGGGAGGCGGCTTCTCTCTGGGCAGCACCAGGGGTCAGCCTGGGGCCGAGGTGCAAGCCGAGGCCCACATACCTCATGTCTATGTACTTACAAGTTATAAATCAAGCGAACAAACTGCTAAATAAAATATGTTCTGTTGCTGGGTGCAGTGGCTCAAGCCTGTAATCCCAGCACTTTGGGAGGGCAAGGCAGGGGGATCACCTGAGGTCGGAAGTTCGAGACCAGCCTGACGAACATGGAGAAACCCTGTTGCTACTAAAAAAATGCAAAATTAGCCTGACTGCCTGAAATCCCAGCTACTTGGGAAGTTGAGGCAGGAGAATCATTTGAACCTAGGAGGCAGAGGTTGCGGTGAGCAGACATCACACCATTGTACTCCAGCCTGGGCAACAAGAGCGAAACTTTGTCTCAAAAAATAAAAGTTCTGTCCTCTTTCCTTGACAAATATACCTTCATAAGGACAAACACACCTGGAGGGCTGGGTTTGTGTTTAGAATTCTCAGGCTCCTTGGAGCCCGCAGGAGGAACTGCAGTGGGGGCAGCGCCAGCCTCTGGCCTCCAGCTTCGTACTGGCCTCTTCTTTTCTTTTTGCCCATGTTTTGTCCTTTTCCCTGAGGGGCTGTGAGCACTCAGGAATAGGCACTCCAGGCTGCCTGCATATGTTCTGTCCACACCCCCTGCCAGTAGCCACCTCCTGGTCACTCCTAGGGCTTAGGGGTGCCCAAAAGGGCAGCTCAGACAACCTTCAGGAGAATGTACCCAAGATACAGGCTGGGGGCCACTGAACAGGGAACTCCAGGGCCCCAGATGCCAGATCATGGTCAAGGGGGGCCCATGGCTCCAGCTGGAAATGTCTCCCCCGTCCAGGAGTGCTGCTGTCTAAAGCACAGGGCTCAAGTCTCTGGGCTGAGGGCCCAGGGTGCTGCTGCAGCTGGGGTGGCCAGAGGTGGACAGGGGGGTCTTTCCTCCCTCCTTGAGCTTGCTCCTGCCTGTCACCTCCAGCCATACACCTCCACCTCAGCCAGATTCCCCACATCCCAGCCAAATGCCAACCCTGGGGAGTCTCTTACCTCAATGAGTCAGTTCCCTTTACCCTATCCCCACTGCCCCCCACCCTTATCCCCCTTATCTGGCCACTCCATCTCCTGCCTGTTCCCTGGGCTCCTAGCCTCAACTCTCTGCCTAACCCCCCACCCCAACCTCCTATTTGCCCTCCTCAGGTCAGCCAGCCAGATCTTTCTAATGATCTGGCTTCCTTCCCTCTCTAACCAGTGCTGGCTCCTGGACTCTACGTATCATCCCGACTCCAGAAGCTGGGTCAAGGCCTTACTGTGGGTCTCTGGGCCAGTGTCTCCACATCTCTGAGCTGCGGCTTTTCTGGGTGTGCAGTGGGTGTTGGCCACAGTGGTGACCCCTGAGGTCCCTTGTCTCTCCTTTCCTCCCCTTGGGTTCTGAGCTCCAGCCATGTAGGCCTTCTCTCGAATTCAGTTTTGTGTCCTTTCTGCCTCACGTCTTCATGCACGCTACCCCCCCCTACCTGGAACCGTATTTTCTGACCTTTGTCCCTGGCTCCCCAGATCAGCAGAAACCATGTGGTGATAAGCACATGGAGTTGTCAATTTCCAGTGTGTTTCCTACCTGGCCTACGGGCAGCAGGAGGGCAGGCTGGGTCAGTGTTGTTCACTGCTTCATCTTCAGTGTCTGTCACAGAACAGGTGTCACTGAAGTTGCATGAGTCAGATGCATCGACACTGGGCTTGAAATCAAGACACCATGGCAGCTAGTATCTACTGCAGGCTCACTGTGTCTTGGGCCCTACTTTTAAGGATATTACATGTATTAGTTCATTTATTTCTCACAACAATCTTTGAAATACGAGTGATTACTATCTCCACACTACAGAATAGGACACTAAGGCACAGAGAAATTCAGAGACTTAGGGTCACAGTTGGCCAGTGACAGACCCGGATTTGAATGCAGGCAGTGGAGTACCTCCTATCTAGGCCCAGCTGGGCCAAGGCCTTACTGTGGGTCCCTGGGCCAGTGTCTCCACGTCTCTGAGCTGCAGCTTTTCTGGGTGTGCAGTTGGGGGTTGGCCACAGTGGTAACCCCTGAGGTCCCTTTCACTTCTGACAGGCTGGCAGCTCCTCTGATGATCCATCCTTTAGGGAGCCAAGGACTCCCTATAGAGGTCCTGCAGGGATGCCCAAGACTTGGGTGGCTGGGAAACAGCTTGGTGTGAGTTAGGCGAGGTGGGCACTGAACACATCTGTTCTCTGTCGATAAGACAAAGGCAGAGCACAGCCTGGGGGTGAGAGCGCAGGGCTGGAGCAGCTGTGAGGCCAGGACCGAAGGACCACTCCTCCCAGCCTCGGCTTCCTCGTCTGCCATGCATGCCTCATTTGAGCTGCACATGGCTGATGGGGCTGTCGGGACATCTCACAGGACCTGGCTCACGTGGGGTGGGGGTGATCGGTACTTATGAACTTGGTCAATGCGCATTTTCTAACCAGTGGGCCCAGGCAGCCCGCGGGGAGCTCATGGCTCCCCCAACCAAACCAACCTCACGGTTCTGGAACTCCTCTCTGTTTGAAACAGTGCTCCTTGGAGAGGCTGCAGACCTGAGTACCTGGCCAGGGACCCAATCATCCCTAGCAGTCTTGTCATTGTGGCCAGCCTTCATCGAACAGGAACCTACGCTGGGCTTTGTAAATGAACTGAGCTGAACTGCCAGGTGCTGGGGTTCAGGCAGAGACTGGTGGCCAGAGGTTTGGGGGGGCCGAATACAGTAGTTGGGTTGGGGGGCACTCCTTGGGGCAGAGTTGAGCTTGGGTCACGACACCAAGAGCTTCACAGGCATCTCAGGGACCCTTCAACAACAGCCCTGAGGGCTATGCATCCCTTTTCTATAGGAGGACATGACATGGACGCACTGGTGGCCTGGCCAAGGTCACACAGCAAGGAGTCTAGATTTGGCTTTTAACCACTCTGCCCCCAGAGTGGTTAAGGTTAAGTGGTTTGGGCAAAGGTGTTCCATGTAGATGGGAGAGTGAATTGATAGAAAAGTTCTGCAAAGGACCTGGCGCTGTGGCTCACACCTGTAATCCCAGCACTTTAGGAGGCTGAGGCAGGCAAATCACGAGGTCAGGAGTTCGAGACCAGCCTGGCCAACATGGTGAAACCCTGTCTCTACTAAAAATACAAAAGTTAGCTGGGCATGGTGGTGCGTGCCTGTAATCCCAGCTACTCGGGAGGTGGAGGCAGAGGTTGCAGTGAGCCAAGATCGCGCCACTGAACTCCAGTCTGGCAATAGACTAAGACTCCATCTCGTGGGGGTGGGGGGGAGTTCTGGAAGAAACTCTGGGACTTGCATATGGGTCCATGCGTTTATACCCCTGAGCATGAGAACCCCCTGCTCCCCAGCCCGGCACCCCTCCTTGCCCTCCTCTGTCTCCCTGCCTTTGTTTACTCGCCTGTGCTCCCTGTGGACTCTGCTAGACCCTAAGCCTGTGAGGGCAGCGGCTGTCTTCCTGCTTCCTGCACACAAGCATGTGACTCCAGCACAGGCAGGAGGGAGGCAGATGGAAACACAGGCGCAGCCCTTGGCTGTTTCACCCTGTGCCCAGTCCCTTCCCTCCTGGGGTCTCTGTTTCTCATCTCTGCATATGGGTAAAGTGCCCCATCCTTAAGTCCGGGGTCCCGTGAGCCGCTGGGTTCCTGCTGGGGCATGGGAAGGGCCCTAAAACCTGAAGGGAAGGGAGGACGAGGGCAGTTAGCTCAGCTGCTCTCCCTCCATCCCGGGTCCTGCCGCCTGCCCTGTCTTCTGATTCTGGTCACCCTGGGGAGGGGCTCACCACTCTGCTCAGCAAGTTCTCTCCACAGGCTGGGCAGCCAGGGAGTGCTCTGCTGGACTGAAGGAGCCCACGTGAGCCCAGGCCACCCTTGGAAGCTCCCCCTAAAGAGAGGGAACAGGGCCGGGCGCGGTGGCTCAAGCCTGTAATCCCAGCACTTTGGGAGGCCGAGGCAGGTGGATCACGAGGTCAACAGATCGAGACCATCCTGGTCAACATGGTGAAACCCCGTCTCTACTAAAAATTACAAAAAAATTAGCTGGACATGGTGGCGCGTGCCTGTAATCCCAGCTACTCAGGAGGCCGAGGCAGGAGAATTGCCTGAACCCAGGGGGCGGAGGTTGCAGTGAGCCGAGATCGCGCCATTGCACTCCAACCTGGGTAACAAGAGAGAAACTCCGTCTCAAAAAAAAAAAAAAAAAGAGAGGGAACAGACAACCGCAGTAGCTTGTCAGGAACCCCCACCAAATGCCCCACACGCAGGGCTCCGCACTAAGTGTCTCAGGGACCTGATTTGCAGGAAGGGCACCGGGATGCTCACTGGGGGTAGAACACTCACCTGGGGAGGAACTGTCCCTGCCAAGGCTTGGGTTACCCACAAACTCAGCCCACAGAAGTCTGCTGGCTGTGCTAACAATATCTACCATGCTGAGATTCTGCAAGGTGCTTTTAGTGTTAGCCCATTTTGCAGAGGAGAAAGTTGATGCTCTGGACATACGTGAGCTTAAGCCTTTGGCCCAGTTCAAAGTCACCAAATATTTCAGAGGCCAGGGCCTGGGGTGGGGGTGGGGCACCCCAAGCCCAGGTGAGGGTGATGTGAGCGTGAAGCCTGGTCCTGGAGGGGCAATAGAGGGAGTGAGGGTGGCTCCTGCCAGAAGCTGGGGAGGGGTGTTTGAGACCTTGAAGGAGGTGGGACTGTGACAGTGGTGACCGTGGGAGGGGTCCGGGTCCAGGCAGTAGCTGGGAGAGACTTGGTGCAGGGCCCTAAACCGAAATGGAGGAAAATGGAGATGGAGGGGTCCCTGTCCTCACGGAGGGGTAAAGGCCGAGGTTGGGGGCTGGACGAGCCTAGAGGAGGGCACCAGGGCAGCCCAGACACAAGCCATGTGGTCTGTGTGTGTTTACTGTGTGTCAGAACATGTGAGGTATGTGTTGAAAGGTCTGTGGGGGTCAGGGCATAAGTGTATCAGCATATGGAGTGTGTGTGTGTGCACATGCATGCTGGAGCATGCACCTTTGTGCCTGTGATCTGTGTCATGCAGTGTGTCTGTGGCTGTGTGGGATGTGGTCCCTGTGATGTGGGGAGTGTGTGCTGGTGTGTGTGTGTGTGTTGTGGGGTGGTGCTAACTGGGACACTCTCCAGGGGAAGAGCCTGTCGGGGATGGAGGCGGAGGAGTTAACCAGGAAACTGGGAGAGGGAACAGCACGTGCAAAGCCTGAAGGCCTGGAGAGGCAGCCTGGAGCACCGGAGGGCTTGAAAGCTTCCAGTGAGGCTGGGGCAGGGAGGGAGAGGCAGTGTGTGGGAGGGACAGGGCAGGCCTTCCTCTACCAGTGTGAGCTCCTTAGCTTGAGGGTGTGTATGGCCTGGAAGGGTAGAGGGGCTGGGAGGAGGTGGAGCCACCACTGACCAGGTGGAGGGGTGGAGGGCAGGCCTGGACAGGGGCAGGTGCTGGGTGGAGGTCAGGGAGTGACAGCCAGAGCTTTCAACTAAGCCTCTGGGAGGCCACAGGGCCTGGGATCCCAACCCAGTACCCAGACGGTTTTAAGTTTCCCCTCAGTAAATCTGGGCTCAGGACATTCCTGGGGCACTTGCTCAGTGTGACTGGGCACAGGCTGGGCAGGCATTTCCGGCATGAACACATTTTCCCAGGCCTACTGGCTGCAGGAGCCAGAAGCAGGAGCCAGGATTTGCACCCAGGTGGCCTGACTTCAAGAGGGCCCTCTCACCTGACTTCAGTAGTGACACCAATAGTGACCTTAGTGCCTTCAACAGTGACCCAGTAGGGACAACAGTGACTCACCTGCCCCATGGGCTTCAAACTGCAGTGGCTGTGTTCTCCTTTGCCCTTGTGTTCTGGGGGACGCCATAGGTCCTCACACTGTCACTGCACCTTTCTAAAGATGAGAAAACTGTGGCCAGAAGTGGAGTGGCCTGACCTGGGCTCCAGCCTAGGGGTCCTGCTGTAGAGCTCCCCCCACCTCCTCAGATGAGGTAGGTACAGTTTTCTCAGCACAGGCCAGGAAGCTCTCTTAGGTAACACGTGCATGACAGAGTGGGACCCCGCAGAAAGGACTTGTAACTCCATACAAGGTGACTGTATGACCTTGGGTGATCCTTTTCCCATCTCTGGGCCTCGGTTTACCCAACTGTACAATTCACCCCCTAAGTCTAGGAAGATTCGCTGAGCTGAGTCTGCCAAGTGGCAGATGAGGAAGCCGAAGTTCACAGAGTTGAAGGCGCGTGCTCAGGTCAGGCGGCGGCACCGGGCGGCTCCGGCTTCGAAGCCGCATTCCGAGGACGTGCGGGCCCTAGGCCCCTAGCGGCGTTGTCCTGCCCCCAGGGGGCCGCGGCGCGGGGCGGTTCCAGGCCCTGCCAGCCTGACGTCAGGCCCGGGCCGCGGGGCCTCGCCCTGCACAAACAGAGCCGCGGGCCAGCGCCGGGGCCGGGGGCGGCGGTGACTCAGGGCCCCGAGACGGGCCGGGAAGCGGAAAGTTGTATGCAGATGACATCAGCCGATCGCGAGGGCGGGAGGAGGCCGGCTCCGGGAAACGGCGGCCTGGCGGGCGGCCCGGCCTGGGGCAGGGCGCGGAGGGGCCGCCGCGGGGGTCTGGGGGGGCGGGGACACTCGGGACGCCGAAAAGTGCGTCCCCTCCCTCCCCGGCCCCAGGCCCTAGGCCGCGGACCCCGGAGCCCGGCCAGGCTTTCGCCTGCGAAGAGCGGACTACACCCGCCTGCAAAGACGCAGCGCTCCCCCGCGCTCCGGAGGCAGCCGCATCCATCCTGCTGAGTCCCTGCATTTTAATTACCGCCGCATTAATATTCATGAGCCGGGACTCGAGGGGGACCGCGGGCTGTCATTTCCCTCGCCCGCCCTCCCCCCATCGCACCCCTCTTCCCGGGCTGAGTCGTGGGCTTTTTTTCCTCCCGTTCTCAACCCCTCCTGCACCAACCGTTGGTGCTCAGCAGATTTTGGGGCAAGGGGGTGTGAGTGTGAGCATGAGTGTGAGCGAGCGTGAGCGGGTGGGAGGGCGCTGGGTGGGGGCTGAAAGTGAGTCTGTGTCTGTGTCTGCGTGCCTGTGTGTACGTGTCTACGTGTGCCTGTGTGTCTGTCGGCAGTCCCAGGGGCTGTGTGCACATGTCTCTGATGTCTCTGTGGGGCTTGGAGAAGGGCCAAGTCTTGTCCAAGTTAGGAGGGCCTGGCTGCACAAATGGGTAAACTAAGGTCTGCAGTGAGGCTGGGCCTTGTCCAAAGCCACCCCATAGGTCAGTAGCACAGGGGAGTCCGGCGATTTGGCCTGCTCTGCTCCCCACTCTCCTGTGCTGTTGTTTATAACAATGGCAGGCCAAATGTGCTGAGCTGGCACCTCTCACATGGCCTCCCCAGCAAACCTGTGCAGCACGTGGTGCTATCAGTCCCCTGTGCATATGGGAAAATTGAGGCAACCGGTCCCACCATTGAGGGGTGGACTGGAGCCCAGAAATGTCTGAATCCAAAGACCGTGGCTTTACCAGCCCCACTGTGGTACCTCCTGGAGAACTGTGGGGTGTCTGCACTGGGGTGATCTGGGGTTCCTGGGTGCCAAGCATCAGAGGGGGTGTTTCCCTAGAAACACAGCTCACCTTCTGTTTCCCTCCCAAGTCAGAAAGGGCTGCCTTCCCGTGGCTCTCCCAATACCCTCTCTGTCCCCTCCCTATCCCTGAAGCCTGCCAGGAGCCACCCTGCACACCAGGCCTTGCTGCCTGGGCCTGAGATCAGTCAATCATTCATTCATTCATTCTTCATCCAACAAATGCTTCAGTGCCTTCCGTGTGCCAGTCACTGTGCTAGGCACTGGGATTCTCTGCTCTCCACTCTGGGCATCTCCACCTGGCCCAGGCGCCTCCAGGTCCTCAAGGGGCTGTTCACCTCTGTGTGTGAATGGTCACTAGGGGTAAGGGACTAGGGGCACCTGTGCACAAAGAACATCTCCCCCCTACCCCAGCCTTGCCGCAGAAGTCTGGGGTGAACACATTCAGTGACCAGAAAGGGGCTGCGATCACCTTAGGGCTGATGGGCGGTGGCCACACTAGGCAGCCTGAATCTTTGGTTCTCTCTCCTGGAACTTGTCTTCCTCTGGCCTCCAAGCCAAATAACCCCAAGGGCTGGTCAGCCTGCCTTGCCCTGGGTTGAGCCAAGGCCATCTTCTCTCTCACGTCCATCCTAGAATAGGCGGACTGTTCCCTCCTCTGCCCACGCAGGGCTGGGCGGAAACTCATGTCCCAGCCATGTCCCCGGAGCCTTTTCTCCCCTCCCTTTGGGAGCTCCACAGGAACACAGAAAAGAGGAGAGAGGTGCAGCCAGAGGACTCTGGAGAGGAAGTGATAATTTAATTGGGCTTCACGGGGTAAATAGGAGTTTGCTTAGGAGAGGCAGCCCAAGGAAGGGGGACCAGCTCAGAGGGGCACCCGCCTGCAGCCCCCATTCTATAACAGGAACCAGAGCAGGCCAAAGGCAAGAGACGGGGGGCGACTGTGAGGATGGATTTTCTCCTAAAGGGCCTGAGGCAGTACAGCCTAGTGGTCTCGTCTGCACTCTTGGGTGAGTCCATCCTGGGTGAGGATTCCCCTCCCTCCTCACTGTGAGGGCCTCATTTTTCCCCATCTGCAAAACTGGGAGAATAACTTTTTTTTTTTCAGGATAATATTCAGACCAAGAGACACTTGCCCATACTAGCAGGGTGACTGGGGCTCTTTGATGGGGTGATCTGTCCTCAAGGACATAGGGAAGCCTCTGGAATCACTGTCCCCATTTGGCCCAGAAGGAGATTTAAGGATTGGTCTGTGTCCCACAGTCTCCATGGAGAGGAGTTTGTTGGGGACTGACTGCTCAAAGGAGAGGGAACAGGCTGAAACTGTCATGGGTCAGGGAAGGCCCAGGCTCTAGGTAACAGAGGGGCCTCGGAGGCCCCATGGCCCTGCCTGTTGGGCTCCCTGTAGACCTGCCAGATGGCCCAAAGAGCCAGGGCCGCAGTGAGAGGGGCAGCCTGACCCACCAGCTCCTGGCTCCCTCCTGCTGTCTCTTTGCCTCCTGGCTCCCCTCTGTCTTTTGAAAATTTCCTCCCTTCTTTTGTTAGAGTCGTCATACCTGTACATGGCAAACGCGTGCGCGTGCACATACACACACACACACACACACCACCACCACCACCACTATTTTTTTTAAAGAAAGAACTGTAGTTCATGCACTACATCCTGACGCTGTCATTCTAGATTTTGTGTACATTTCCAGTACATTTCTCTGCATGCAGAGCTGTCTTTCTAAAGCTTCCATAAGATGACTTCCACCTCTGTTCAAAGGCCTTCCATGGCTCCCCAGTTTTTTAAAGCAAGGCAGCTTCCTTGGGTCTTTGGAACCTGAGCCAGGCTTGGGAACACCATACTCCCTCCTCTCCCCATTACCCTCCCTGACGCTGGGCTGCGGGCCCTTCCTCAGAATGTGGCCTCCTCTCCTGCCACTGTGCCTTTGCCTTTGCTGTGCCCACCTCTGGGAATGGCCTTATGCTCTCCACTGAGATTTATCCTCATTGCTCAAGATCAGCCTTTGTTGTCCCCCCCACCACCACCAAGCCTCCTCTCTCAGCTCTCCTCCCTCCCCATCCGATACACCAAAACCCACCTCTCTCACAGTGCTCTCAGCACTGGTAGACACGGCTAGGGTGCTGCTTTTCACATCTAACTCTCAGGAGCGCCTCCTCCGAGTCTTGTGTCCCCACTCAGCTATGAGCATCTCAAAGGCTGGGGACCTGGCATCTTCATTTTTGTTACCATCTACCTTGATGCCCTGCACATAGTAGGCACTTTAAAATGTTATATTAAAAAAAAATTCAAGTTGCTTCTTCTTTTTCTTTCTTTCTTCTCTTTCTTTTTTTTTTGACAGGGTCTCATTCCGTTGCCCAGGCCGTATGGAGCAAGGGGTGCAATCG